AATCCCGGTGGGCTGGAACAAAAGGGGCAGGTCCGCCCTATTGCTTCATTTAACACCCCGCAAGCAGGGAAATAGGGCTACTACAGGGAAAACACCACACACACACACACACACACACACACACACACACACACACCTCCGCCCCGCCCCCGCCACCCCGCCCTCGCTCATGAATAATGAATAACGATGCTGCCGCAGCTTAACCTGGAAACTCAGGGAGGTCAAGAAAGGTCACACACACTTATCATGAATTATGCATGAGGCTGGATGGACAGCCCTGCCCAGCAAGTAGAGATTAGGATACTCCAGCATGGCAATAAGACCACCCCTTCTTGTTCATGAATAATTAAAGACCAAGGATAGGAGCCACAGGGGAAACCCAGGGGAAATGTATTTGACTCCTCCTCAGCCCTGATTAACTGCACATGAACCAGGGCTGCCTTGCTCCAACCAAATCCAGGCTCATAATGCTTTTGACAGGTGCCTCAGTTTCCACAGCTGTAAAATGGGGATAGTACTCACCTCATAAAGGCAATGTGCGTTATCAAAATCAGAGAATATGAATTATGGAATGAGTTCAGGGCAGTGCTGGCACAGGATGCTTAAATTACTATATAATATATTAAAATGTAAATATTATATATTAATGCAAAGGTAATGTCCCTCCCAGAAGGACACTGGAATGCTAAGGCCATCAATGTCCATTAAATAGGTAGGGCAGACTACCAAATCACCGGAGATAAACCCTGGGCACACAATAAGCGCCCAACACTGTCGAATAACAACAGATCCCATTCGTAGATACGGTGGCTCCTGCGGTGTTTCCTTTCCATGCATTGTACCACTGATCAGGAAATTGGTTCCTTCTTGTCTTCAGGTCTCAGCTCATAGGTAACCTCCTTAAGAGTTCTTAAACCCTTACAAAAATCATCCCTACCCACTAATGACTAGCTGTGTGACCTGGGGCCAGACAGTTCACTGATCTGGGCCACTGTTTCCCCACCCATAGAATGAGAACAGTGACTTACCTTGTCACGGAGATTCAAAGAGTAAACATGTAGAAAAGGCTTGGAACGGTGCCTGGCACAGAGTGCTAAATGACTGACATTAGTAGTAGTACCATTAAATTGGGGAGGGGGGTCGATTATAGCATTTGATTAAAATTACAGACTGGAACTAGACTGGTTAGGTTTGAATGCTGGCTCAGCCACTCACTGACTGTAACTGTAGGCAAATTACTTACCCTTCTGGTGTCCCAGTTTCTTCATCTATTAAATAGGATAATAATAAGCTACCTCCTAGGACTGTTGTGGGGATTAATAGGCTAATAAAGTGCTAAATGCATGTAAACTAATCTGATCATCATGTTGCCTATACCTACTTTTCAGGCTCACAGAAAGATTTGCCAAAGATCACACAGCTGGCAAGGATCAATGGGATTGGAGTCGAGAGCCTTTGTTGATAATCTGGGATCAGTGGGTTTATAAAGACATGAACCATGTATGAGGGAGGCCTCGTCCGTTCCCTAGAGGAAAGGTTTAAATCCTGGAGACTCTAAGGGAAAGCTAACAGTGGATCATGTAGATGAAGCCTTGTAAGCCACGCCCCTCATGAATTATGCACAACGCCCCTGGAAAAGCTACAGAAAACTAGGGGAGCTACTCACCTTTACGATTTATCAATGAGTTCTAGTTTGCCAGAAAAACTGAAGAACGCCCCTTCAGCATGCTCATCCAACCCTCTTGAATAATTCACAAGTCATACTTCCAGCGCACTAGGTGCAAAAGAGGCAAAAATGGACTTCCTAACAGCCCCACCTCCTCATGAATAATGAATAAAGCCGGGCTAATGAAGGCTCGCTGGAGCCCTGTCCCCTCGGGAAGCGTTTAGGGCTTCAGTGCCCCTTCCACAGTCCGGGTTAGGGGGCCCCTCTCCCTACCAGCCTGTGGGCCCCGACGTCTCCAGTCTGCCCCGAGTGCCCAAGCACGGGGGGGTACCGCACCATAGAACCAGAGGTCACAAAGGCCACGGACACCCTTACAATGCCACGTTGGTCCTGAACGTTCCCACAGTCACCAGGACCTCTCCTGAAACAAGCCGTCCCCCAATACAGCCTTGACTTCAGGAACCTCAAATTTCACCTACCCCCTTAGGGAGCGCCCCAAATTCTGCCCCGTTAACAGAGTATTCAGAATACTCATACATAGACCCTAAAGGTCTCCTCCAACATCCTCTTACACCCTGTCTCTGACAGATAGATACATCCTGCCTCCGAGGGATACTCCCTAAAACAGATCCCACATCCCACCTCGAGTCCCCGAAGACCACTTGCTTAGGATCCCTCTCCAAACAGCCGCCCCTAATAGCCACTCGGGGCCCGGAACCTCCAAACATGCCCATTGGGGGTTCCCCGAAACTGAGACCTCCTCCCTCAGATGCTGTCCACGGGCTGGGGGGGACCCACCGTGCTCTAACTCACCCCCTGCGTCGAGCGGAAGCCTCGCCTTCCTGCTGGAGATGAGCCGACGCCACGGGGCAACGGAAGAGCAAGGCAGCTTCTCCGTCGCCCAAGAGAAGCCAGAGTTTGCGCGGAGCTCGAAAGCGCGGGGCCTCGGGTGCCTCGGTTGGAACGTACCACGGACGCTCAGATCAGAGGGGTGTCCGCCTCAGCGGCCGCACCGTCGGCGGCCCGCGTCAGACCCGAATACCCCTGCGGGTTGTGGTCCTTCCCAGAAGCGCGGGGCATGCTGGGGGTAGTAGTTCGGCCCAGCTGGTGCTTGGTGCACGTGGTGAGCATCCGCGCCAGAGTATTGGAAAAAGTAAACCTAACTGTGGAACTCTGGGAGCGATGCTCTGGGGCGTGGGAAAGGGCAGCGGAACGCTCTTCCATCAGATCGTTCCCTTCTTATTTATCCTTTCCCTGACCTCAGAGACCTGCCCTGGTACCCCAAGTACAGTAGTCGCTGGACACCTCTGGGACAAGGTGACATGTGGAAAGTGAGGAAGTGAGGCCCCTGTAACACGAGGAAACCATCCCAGACAGGGAAACCATTCTGGACAGAGGGTACATCAGGTGCAAAGCCCCGAGGTTGCAAGTTGCTGTAATGTTTGAGGACTAGCACAAAAGTCCACAGCTGGCAAGGCGTGAGGAAGGGAGGGCACCGTGAGATAAGGTGGAGGCCATAACAAGTAGGGCATTGTAAGCCAGCCAGAGATGGGAGAGCTGTAAAAGGGGGTTTTCAGCGGGGGAGTCACGTCATAGAAACTATCTGGCTGCTCTGTGTGGTGAGAGAAGAAATTAAGGAGAAAGGTGGAGGCAGAACAACCAGTGAAAAGGCTACTGCCAGTCCGAGAAGTGATGAGGGGATCAGAGTAAGATGGCAGGTGTGAGGAGGGAGTACCCTAATCAAAACATGGAAACTGCCATGGCCAGTGGCTTGGTTGGTTGGAGCATCCTCCCGCACACCAAAAGGTTATGGGTTCCACTCCCCATCAGGGCACATACCTAGGTTGCAGAGGGTCCAATCCCGGGTTTGAGCAGTAGGCAACCGATGTGAGGGAGTTTCCCTCACATTGATGTTTCTCTCTCTCTCTCTCTCTCTCTCTCTCTCTCTCTCTAAAATCAATACAAACGTATCTTCTGTGAGGATTAAAAAAGTAAAAAATTGAAAAGATATGGAACTTCTTCATTATTCCAGAAAGCTACCTTGCAATCCTTTCCTGTAGGAACACCCTCTCCACCTCCATCCTACTCTGCCATCACCATGTGTTCCATCTGATTGAGGATTCCTCAAAAGTGGACTCATACAGTCTACATTCTTTTTGTGTCCTTTTCCCTCAACATGTTTGTGAGATTCAGTCATACTGCTTGTATCAGTATTTTGTTCCTTTTTATTGCTGTTGTATTCCATTATATGAATAGACCATAATTTATCCATTCTCCTCTTGTTGCATGTTTGGGTCACCAGTCCTGGGCTATTACGAATACAGCTGCTATGAATACACATATAACAAGTCCTTTTATTGATGTTTGCATTTATTTGGGGTAAACATCTAGGAATGGAATTGTTAAGTCATAGGATAAGTATATGCTTACCTTTGTATGAAACAGCCAAAGTTTCCCAGAGTGGCTGTGCCATTTACTGCTGCCAGCCATACAAGAGAAATCTTTGTTGGGGCCCCATGGTAACAGCCTGGAGAGGATGGGATAAGGGTAGATCCAAACGGTCCTGGTAGCGATCCCTGGGACCTGGGATTGGCAGGCCAAGCTTCTCTCTCCACCCCTTGGGGTCATCAGCCCTTCAAGGGCACAGGGCCTACTGGTGCCAGAATGCTATTGTTATCCACTTGGAGATGCCCTAGGGCAGTGGTTCTCAACCATCCTAATGCCGCGACCCTTTAATACAGTTCCTCATGTGGTGATCCCCAATTTCATTGTTACAAATTGAACATAATTAAAGCATAGTGATTAATCACAAAAACAATATGTAGTTATGTATGTGTTTTCCAATGGCCTTAGGCGACCCCTGTGAAAGGGTCATTGGACGCACAAAGGGGTCGCGACCCACAGGTTGAGAACCACTGCCCTAGGGCATTGTCCCAGACCCAGGGAGGGCCAAATGCAGTGTAGCCTTGCCATTACAGAACAAATGCCCCTGCGGGGTGGGAAGGCCAGGGGATGGGGTATTCCAAATCCTGGCTCTGACCCAGGTGGACCTCAAGCTTGCCGGTGCCCTGGTGATACTGAATTTCTTAGCACAGCAGGACCTTCTGGCCCTGAAAATGGTGAAGGGCTGTGACCAGAATCTTGTGGGTTGGGCCATAGGCCAGAACCCATGTTCTGCCTGCCCCCACCCAGCACTAAGCTGGTAGTTACCATGTATACCCACTGAATGCCATCACTGCCACCCACCTCAGCCCCTTCTCTATCTTTGTGTATGCTCCCGTGTCTGTGTGGGCCACAAACAATGCTGGGACATGAGAAAGAGACATGCAAGCTGTGGACTTTTCAGCTTTTATTACAAAAAGAACTTGATCCTAGCCCAGTTTTCCAACAAGTCACCAACTCAAAGTCTGACGTGGTCAGGGCCTGTCTGGCTGGGGAGTGGGCTGGTGAACAGGTGCAGAGCCCTGCTCAGAACAGCAGACATTTCATTCTTCCCGTCCCGGGCTGGTAGGAGCAGATGTCGAAGTAGCTCTCACAGGTCCTCACTGGGCCTCGTTAAAGCGGGTCACCATTGTCTTGTGCAATGTTTCCTTGTAGGACTCGGTGGAGGTGACCCCATAGGAGCTGCCTCGGGCACCCAAACCGGAGCCCCGCACCCGTGTCTGGGCCTGTGTGAGGAAGGCAGACTGTCAGGGCACAGGGCCTACTGGTGTCAGATTGCTTACGGTCATCTACTGGGGGGCTGGGGGCCAGGTGGGGCTGCAGCAGAGAGACATGGAGGATGGGGGTGGGATCACAGGAGACTCACCTCAATGGGTGTCACAATGCCCTGCTTCTTGCGACCCAGGCCACTGCCCTCTTTCCAGCCCATGGCCTGGAGCATGCGACTGCCGATGTTGTCACTGCCCAGGCCATCCCGCGTGGGCTGCTCAAAGTCTCTGCAGGGGACAGCAGTACAGTGTGAGTGACTGGCCTGCTGGCCCCAGGCCCCCCACCTGGCCCTGGGCACTCACACGGAGGCGGCAGACATGCCACCATACTTCCTCCTCTTAGGCTCTGGTGGCTCAGGGATGCCATACTTCTCTCTGCGTTCGGCTGCCCGGTCCCGGTACTTCATTTGCTGAAAGTTTGTGTGAGTGAATGGGGGAGCTGGTCATTACTGGCAGGATATATGGGCACCGATGGGGAATCCCATGAGGAGGATCCAGGTTAGGCAGGCAGGACACTGTGGGTGTGAGCAGCCAGCATGGGGGGATCGGGAGAAAGCCTCACAGGGACACGATGCGATACCTGATGGCAGCCAGGCCGTGCTCAGCTAAGAACTTGAGCACCAGCTGCCCGAGGGAATGGACATGGCAAGGGACAGGGGGGATGGAGTCTAGGAGTGGGTCACACCTCACCTCCATGTCATTCTTCTCAAGTGCTTCTAGTTCATTTTCTGACAGGTGCGCTCGCCGGTGAATCTCAAGGTTTTGCTACAAGAGGACAGGAGGAGTAAAGCGGCTGGGCCGGGCCGGGCCGGACCAAGGTTCCCTGCCACGCCTCCCTCTGTCACCTTGTGGAGCCCGGAGAGCTGCTGGTGCCGGATGAGCGCCTCCTTGCTGGGGAACTGGCGCCGGCAGAGCAGGCAGGCCAGCTTCTGCCAGTCTGTGAGCTTCTCTTCCCGCTCCGGGCCGCCTCGCTCCTGCTCCTCCTCACTGTCACTCTCCCCGCTGTAGGCGGCCACCAACCCTCGGGGTGGGCTCTGTAGAAGGCAGGAGGGCACCGGAGGTCAGGCCTGGCAAGATCAGAGGCACCTGACCCCTCTTTCTGGCCTGGGCACTCACTGGGCGGTCGTCGCTGGCCAGTTTCGGGAGATCCATGCTGGTGTGCTGCCTCTCAGCGAGTGCTCCCTGAGGTGGAAGGACACAAGTTCAGAGACTTCACAGGGACTGGCAGGATGATAAGATGGGGCGAGGGGTGTGGCTGGGTGGCCACAACATACCTTCTTCTCCAGGATGGCGTAGCCCGCATCTGCGGTGGCTGACTCCCGCCTCTCATCGTCCCGCAGGGAGCTGATAGGCTGGAAGCTGTTTTTGAAGTTTTCTTTCTGCTTGTTGAGACTGCGGGCCCAGCGCTCCATGTCCTTGGCGATCTAGGGGTGAGGAGGAGGGGGGTGAGGTGCTCAGAAACCCAGCTCCATTCACTGCCCCCTGGCCCTGCAGCAGCCCGCCCCACCCTGCCCTGCACCTCAAGCAGGTGAGACGGGCAGTGGGGAAAGCTCCCATTTCTTGCCATACTGTCATCGATGGTCAGCAAGCCCCTCTCCAGCTGTGCCCCCATTCTCCTGACAGACACCCGCATTATGATGTTCCCTGTGTTTTTTCGTTTCACCATTCTAAAATGCACAGGATGGCTTTCTCTGTCTATAATTTTTATTTACATCTGATCTTTTGCCACATCCCATATTATATTGATTTCCCCCCACGCACACCATTTTTAGAATTGACCAGATTGCCAATTTCTTGCTTTTAAGGGCTGCACTCAGACTGTCATACTCTCCCTATACACATGGACATTGAGGTTCCTGCCAACTGCCCAGACACAGAACACTGCAGTGGCTGGTTCCTACCCACCCCCTGCTGGGCCTGAGTTCCCTGGAACATATCTACATGCAGACACAGACACCCCCATAGTGTGAGTGGGGTGAGCCCAAAGGTGTATGCAGGCCCACACCAGCCTATACTCCCACCAGCAGCGTGAGGCTTCCCACTGGGGGAAAGCTGACAAAGCTCACGTGGATGGCACTGGCCACCTCAGGGAGGTGTGAGGCCCTGTCCCGTACTGAGGAGACTGCCCTGGCTGAAGGTCACATAGCAAAGAACAGAGCTAGACCAGGGCCTGTTATCCCTTGAGCAAAATTCCTGCCCACATACGCATGTTCCCTCAGCAGCGGGGGTAGCGGGAAATGCAGTCGTTGGAAGACATGCACAGCCAGCAGTGACTGCTGGGCCTGGGTGCTCACCTGCTGGGCCGTCTTGGTCTTGTGCTTCTCCTTCTTCTCTTTGCCCTCCTTGGAAGGCGCCCCTGTCTCCTTATGCCCGTCGGCTGACTGCTCCAGGGCAGGAACGTAGGTCCGCCTCTCCCCATCCCAGTACAGGTACTGCTGGCTCTGAGCATTGTAGTAATACTGCGGGGGGGAGGAGGGGGAAGGGGCATAAGGGAGGAACTCAAGAAGGGAAATGCAGACCCCACCCGCTCGCTCCTTGAGCCGCCCCATCACCTGGGAGTTGGGATCGTAGTAGAGGCCAGTCTGAGGATCATAGTAGTAGCCGGATGTCTCATCGTACTGGTAGGTGGAGACGTCAGGAACAGCTGGGGATGGAAAGGGGGAGTCAAACCCCTCCCTGCCTTGTGAAGAACTCCCCACCGCCCACCCGCAGGCCGGGCTACTCACGGTACTGGCTGTAGGACTCCTGGGCGGTGGGGCTGGTGGCTGGTGGCAGGGCAGAGCTGGGATGGGTGGGGCTCTGGAGCTCAGATTTGAGCACAGCAGGTGACATGATGGTGTATGGCTGCTCACGGGGCCAGACAGGGGAACAGGGCTCAGTGTCTGCTCGTGCCCACGGCGCCCACCCCCTCGGGGCCTCCCTCCAGCTCCCTCACCTGGCTGTTGGCAGCAGCGCTCTGGCTGCCGCTGGCCTCGGCTGCCGACTGCTGGTAGATGCCAGGGGCGGCACCAGCTTGGGCGCGGGAGAAAGCCTGCAGCGACACAGAATCTGCCCCCGGCTCTAGGGAGGCCTCGGCACCTGGAAAGAGGGACAGGGAGGAACGCGCCTGTGAATGGCGGGGCCCAGGACCCCGTGCCTGCCGGCCCCCGCGTGGGATTGAGGAGAGACGCTGGGGCTCACCTGCTCCAGCCGGGTCCCCTTTGGTTCCAGTCATGCCAGGGCCCTTGGCGCTCTTGAGGTAGCCATGGGCATAGAGGGAGGACTCTGTGCCCTGGCTGCCGCCATAGCCCTCATCCTGTTGATAGTAGCTGTAGTCGACCGATGGTTCCTCGGGGGTGGCCCAGGCACCCTCCCCACCCTGGGAGGCCTGAGGGGCAGGTGGGAGGGGCTCATTAGCAAAGGAGGGGAGACAGGGGGAATAACCTGCTAAGCAGCGGCTGCCCACAGCTGAGGCTAGTGTCTGCCGACAGAAAGCATGCGGCCCTCAGACAAGTGAGGTGAGAGGGCTGCCGGGCACAGCGGAACAGGGAGGCAGCGGAAACAAGACAGGAACAAAGATGCATGCCAAACGCTCCCGGGGCTGGCGCTGGTACGTCTGTTGTGTGGTGCATGTGCTGGGCATCAGATCAAGGAAAGTATCATCCTCCCCTTCTTTAGTCTCAGCTCCCAATTTTCCTCTAGCCCCTTATCAATTCCTTTTTATTAGAGAAAGTTGTAATAATTCAGGACGATACAGTAGCCGCCACACAGGAGAGAAAAGCAGCCACAGCGGCATGGAAAACGGAAGCCTGGGAGGTGAGGAGGAGGGAGTGAGGCTTTAGAGCCCACGGCAGCCACTGAGAGAGGGTTTTGGGTCCGCGGAAAGCCAAAATAGCAAGCCAGCCCTCCTGATGGCAGAGAGGGTGCGAGAGGGTCGCGGTGGCCATCTATCCAGATGCCGGGGCGGAGAAGAGTCTTTGAGTACCTGTGAGATGGCCCACTGGGCCGCAGCAATGGCAGTGCTGGCCACAGAGGCAGCATTGATGCGGCTGCCTTCGTTGGAGGCCATGTCCCTGGGGAGGATGTCAGACACTGGGAGTGAGATGGGGGGCCCCCAGCTGGGGGACAAACTGGGAAGGGACACAGGTGGGACCCTGACCTCTTAGAACCTTTTGCAAACTCAACGTTGATGGTCTTGCCATCGATGGTGAGCGGCGGGTGCAGGGCCTGCAGGATCTGTAGCAGCTGAGCTGCCTCCTAGGGGAAGGAGGGGAGGCAGGGGCAGAAGGGTCAGGCCCGGGGAGGTCCCCGGCTCCATTGCCCCATTGCCAGCCATGGGGCCGCGGTGGGGGCTGGGGTCAGGGTCCCCCCTCCCCACCCCG